TTGATTTGAAATATATCATATCCAGTCGAAAGAGCACTGTATTGACATATGTATCATATCGTGGCCTATGTATCGATTTATGGATCACATCAGCAACTTCTTAATGATACTCAGCCTTAAACCCCAGGATCATGTGTCGCGGGTTAATATGAACATTTTAAGACCAAAATGAAGCGGCTCACAGCAACAGTTACAGAGAGAGGTGACAAATTTTCAAGGTAAAGCGAATTGGAGCCAAACACAATCTATGTGCTATAGCAAAAACGCTCATTTTCAACAACCTGTTCAAAGGACACTTGTAGAAATGTAAAAATGAGCTTAAAGTGGATGTCATTTCAATCTATAAATCAGGAATATATTTTAGCTTGAACTTTTAAACCCGCCTCCTTAGTCCTTTATTATGATATTGCTCCATGACACAGAAATGACTGTCTAGGATCGTGTCCAGCATTTGTTTCGCCATAATTCTCAGAAACAGTGTGTGTGATTGAATAAAAACTATGATTTTAACAAAAAGGTGGGAGTGACTAACTGAACAAAAACAAATCTAGTTATCTTGTGACTAATTTTATGTGGAAGAGAATGTTTAACAGTGCAGCTCATCTCAACTGTGGTAGTCCAAGTTGCTGGTCAGATTGTGTAAAATGCACAGATCAGATTTGAATAACAGTGCTTCAGAGAGAGCAGTCCTTATAGTTAGCATTGCAACTGAAAATGCTTTGTAGAATGAATAGATTATATTTTACAGTTTAAATTTCTTTCTTATTTAGCAGTATTTACCACACAATGCATGACGTAAAGAGGGTTTAAGACTAAAGCAGGACTAAAGCAGGACTATGATACACTGATGTGGGTTAGACGCTCATACAAAATGTCTTCAGCCTACACCTTTTGGGCTATGCATGCTTCGATTTAAAGGTGCACTGCGCAACTTTTCCTGTGGAGGGACCGCTACCTACTAGGGGTGTGCAAAAATATTGAAATATTGATATATTGTATTGTTTAATGTGATGATACATAGGCCTGTAACGATAACAGATTTTCCTGGATGATTAATTAATACCAAGAATTTATTATGATAAATGATAATATTGATATTTTGAGACCAATTTCAACTATTATAATTATAATAACCATGGAATAAAAATGTAAACACACCCTTTCAAAGATCGATAAACTTTACTTTCTAAAGAACATTTAACACAGGAACTGTAAGACAATGAAAAACAACAGGCCTAAATAAAACAGACTTGTTAATAATACAGGACTAGTCTAATGTGTCTGGTTCACAGCAAAGGACTTGTTCACAAAAATGCACTTGAATAAACCATTGTTGAACCAAACAGAGCCAAAGCAATAAATAAAATGGATTATTAAGTCTCTGTAACAAAATTGCTTTTAAAAGTGATTTTAGTTGTTGACTTACATTGGAATATAGTGTCTCTCTCTCTGTGGCTGCTGCTGTGAGTCTCGTCATTTTGGTCATTTAAATGTTCGTATTAATCTGCGACACAAGATACAGTTTTGCTCTGAGGGAGCCAAGCCACTGTCCTGTTCGGTATTGTGTCGATGTCTTGTGGGATTTCAGTGGATTTCGGGTTCTCCTGGGGGCGAGGCTAGTTGTGTCGCTCGGGGTTGGGTTTATCAGCTGTTGGGGTTTGAGATATTTCTTCTCGTTGTTTGCGTTTCGCTCGCTGCATTTGATGCATGTGGCTGTTGAGATGTGTCCCACTCCCCAGTGTTGATTTGGCATCGTGACGTGTTTTGGCACACGGAGATGAACTGTTTTGGTTCTGACAGCGGCGCTTGTGTTGTGGCTTCATTTTTAGCTGCACAGACAGCGGCGCTTTCTGCACTCGGTCTGCGCGCACATCTGCTGTGTTTATCAACACACGCACGTGGGTTCAAGCGTCATTACACTTGTTAAACGAGAGGAGTCAGAGCGATAGAAGCTTCTAACATCCAGTCTCTTTGAGAGCGACAGAGAGCGAGGAAAACAAACAAGCTGCAGATAGAATTTTTCGCGGCCGGAAAAGTTATCAAGCTCGTTAAAAGTTATCATACGATTAATTGATTTATCGATTATCGTTACAGGCCTAATGATACAATATCGATATTGTGGGCTGCTGTATCGATATATCGTCAAGAATATTTATTGCTGTATTTTACTAAATTATTTTGTTACTGCACTACAGTTTTGTTGTTTATTTAAAGCAGGCATGTCCAAACTATGGCCCGGGGGCCAAATGCGGCCCTTGGACAAATTTTTCTTGGCCCTCAGGCTTCCAAGTGAATTGGCCCAAATTACCTTACATCAACTTAAAAAAAAAAATTATTTGCAAGTTTTTTGAAAATTTACCTTGATAAAGCAAATAATTAATATTTAGTGTGTGGTTTTAAGGATCTTAGCATGAATAAACTCTGACAGCTCACTCCAATATGTTAAACATGCAAATATTTCAATTATTCACTGCATTGAGCATCAGTCTACGGCCCTCGATCGGCCCTCTGTGTCATCTGTGTTTAGATATGTGGCCCGTGAGGAAAAAAGTTTGGACACCCCTGATTTAAAGGAAACAAACTCATTTATGCAACACATTTGACATTTTCACTGTTTTGATGATTAAAATTGTTTCATTTTAACTTTACACAAGAATTGGTTTAATAAACACTTTTAGTATCACAGCCATGATTTATAGCCTTTATTTTTTATTGAACCGTATCGAATTGATTTGAAATATATCGTATCTAATTGAAAGCTCATTGTATCGAAATATGTATCGTATTGTGGCCTATGTATCGTATTGGTAACTTCTTAACGATACCCAGCCCTAATACCTACTTGTCTTCATGGAGATGTTATTGATTTGCCTGGAATGTTCTACGGTAGGGCTCCACGATTATGGAAAAAAATCATTATCAGGATTATTTTGGTCAATATTGAAATCACGATTATTCAAATTATTATTTTTTAATTACACGATGCATTTATTCAGCATTTCTCTCTCTCAAAAAACCCCAAAACAAAACAACTTAGTATTGATAATTTACACCAAACTTTCAAACTGAAAATAAATATTGGCTAAAAATATGAACCTTAGAGCAGTTTTGCGATGTATAAAACATAAAATGAATAAAATATACTTAAAATAAAATAAATATACCTAGTCATATAAAAAAAAAATCCTAAAATAAACCTTGTTAAGCTTAATCGGTTAACACGATTATATGAGTTTTGAGATTGTTTGACACACAAGTGGAAATCACGATCAAAATTCAATTAATTGCACATCCTTACATTAAACATATCCATTTAGCCTTTATTCATTACGGGTGTTTCTGTTGCTCAAGAATATAGTAATTCCTTCTGTGAATAGGGGCGACTCTCCACAGATCTGAACTGTAATGTAGCGCAATGCTGTAACGCGCTTATCTCTCTTGTGGTAGATATGTTTAATCTATACTGTGGAACATTCTAGACTAAGCAAAAACATTGCCATGGAGACAAGCTGCTGCTGGACCCTCTACTAGAAATGTTACACAGTGCACCTTTAATGTATGTAAACAAAATGTTAAAAAAAAAAGACGTTTTACTCCAGATCTGAGCTGGTTTCTGTCTGCAGTCCATTTGGCAGCCAGGTGAATAGATATATTGAGAATACATCAAATAATCAATTAATTTTCTTTTTCTTCTACTATTTTCTGTCATGCCCCCCTAGGAAGAAGAAAACATTTTGGGCTCCTCCACTCTTCACCACGACTATAAATAGTATCATTTGTATTTATAAATTGGGATGATTGTTGGCGATATTCGAGACGTTTTCACTGAAAAAAGTCAAGCATCTTATCGGCGTGATTGGGGTGTAATGTCTTCAGGTGACGCCGTAATTTATTTGGCTTTCATGCTGTCCGCTGCCAGCATTTTTAGACACAGTAAACATAGCGGTCTTTCCTCGTTTCCCACCGTCACACTGAAGCCGAGCGCTATGTACACTTTGTCATATTTCCTCGTTTTAGCTTTCAGGAGATTGTCATTTGTTTCATTATCTCCATCTTTCTGCACCTTTCTTTTCAGTTTGTTCACTGTACTTCATATCTCTTGCTCTGTGCTGTGTGTGTGTGTGTGTGTGTGCCCGGTGCAAAAAACCCAACACTATACTGCCAACTACTGTAGTGGATGTGCAATTACACTTTATTTTAGTAAGACAAAAAAATAAATAAAATATGTTCCCCAAGGTCACATGTGCATCACCGGGGGGCCATGTGCTGCTTTACATTCAAACAACACAGTTCAATACACAACAGTGTGCATTAAGACACAATGCACTTTTAATAATAGGATGATTCTGTTCAAACATCAATTTCAAACCTTGAAATATGAACTAACAAACTAAGACAAGAATCACTTTTCAGAATATTTTCTACAGGTCTAAATTACAGGTTAGCAGTTTTTTATGCAGAATATTTGGTAGGTTTTTTGGGGGGAAATGATGGTAAATTGTGATTTGCTAATTACATCCATTCAAATTGAAATTCGATAATGACTGTGCAGCCCTCTAGTGAGCTGAGTTTAGTTCTGTGTTAAGTTGTGGGGATGTAATGATATTCAAATCTCTTAATACAATATTTTCACGATATGGATCTCACGTTATGATCTTTATTGTGATATTTTGTGGAGGCTAACAGAAGACTGAATGTGTTTCTTTTCTCTCATAATCCAAATAATTCAGATTTAAAAGTGCTCAGTAACAGTCATATCAGCATGTAGATTGGACTGAAACAGAGCAAAGGATCATAGTATATGTAGTTCTCTCTGTTTTTTAGCTGTTACTGCATCATAACAGGGACATTAAGCAGAGAAACTTGTAATTTGATATATTGTGATGGCCCACGGTATTGTAAGACTTTTGATGATATGATATCACAATATTTCCATTATTTTTACATCACTATTATGTTGTAGTTTTATTTTTTGTGTTTTGTATTTTTTCTGTGTCCAGGACACGATGCCAGTGGAGAGGATGAGGATGAGACCATGGCTAGAAGAGCAGATCGACTCCTGTCAGATTCCTGGACTCAAATGGGTCAATAAAGTCAGTATTAGTCATCAAAGGTTCTATATTAAGATACTATATAAGTTGATTCCCTTTTGGAATGTATTTACCTCATCAAAAACAGACCTGGAGTTGTGTTTTGTTTCATTCACACATGCTTGAGTAACTGCATTAATAGTCTATCTACAGCTCCAAAACTCAGAATGCTCTGTTCGATTTTGTGATGTCATGGAGCTGTAGCCTTAATTGTAGCTACATTTTGCAACGCAATAGAATAATCATAAATTGTTACCCTGTTCAAATTTTTATTTTTATTTTTTTCATTTTTGTTTTCCAACATATGTTCTGGTGCACAGAGAAATGAAGATGGTTCATAGAGTCAAAAACCACAGCATCATCTTCAAAGTTGGGCAATTTGAAGAAAGGAAATTCTTCAAGTTATTCTAGTGAATTTGTATGGAGTTTAAAAACACTGGGGAGTGCTTCCTGTATTGCCACTTAATGACATCACAGGTGCACCATACTAAAAATCTTCTGCAAACTACAGAAAATTGTCAAAACTGAAAATATTGTATTCAGTGCTCATACTTAATCCCTTGGCCATTGGGGAAATCTTTTATGAATAAAATCAAACAAGCCATTGCATTAAACATGTACGCCCAATATTTAATTTGGCGTCACTGATTTCAAAGCCGCAGTGAACAGCCTTTGTGCATTCTAGACTCAACATTTTCGATGTACTTTATTTTTATTGTAATTGTAGGATTGTGGATCTAAAGCACAAGAAATGACTTACCAGCACTTAACCTGTTTTGTCCAGTCCAAATGAAAGGTCCAGTGTGAGGTTTTGTGTCCCATCCCTCATCATTATTCACCTGTACTGCTTGTGTTTTGCATGACTGCTTTAATTACGTCTCTGTTAGAGCTGAAATGCAGGGTGTTTTCTTGTTATAGAGCAGTTTGCTCTTTAGTTTTTTTTTTTTTTTCCCTCAAGTGTTGTTGCTCCTCTGCATGCGTGCCTGGTGTTTTTTCTCTGCTATCCTGTTTATATAGAGCCTGGCTCCTAACTCGCTGCTGTAACCACTAGCATTGCGAGTCCATTTGAGGCTCAATAAGTACAGAGATATTAACAATAAATCAGGACAACAAATCTGCAATCGGACAGTTAAACCACAAATTCTACCATAGAATTGTGGCCTGCCCTCCAGCTCAGTTCAAACTACAGAGGATGGAGAATGCTCTGAAACCATTCTATTGGCCTCTCAGTGAGTGACAGCTGTATCCCAGTGAAAGGTTGACTTTATTAAATACATATAATGAATCCACAATTGTAATCTGGCTCCAAGAAAATCTTAACTTGTGTTTTGGGGCATATCAAGGAGATATATTGGTTTAAAGCAGGACAGAGGTACATGTGGGATTTAGAAAATGTTCAAAAGGCTTTATTGAATAAAAAATCTTCACATGATTTGGCCATGCTAGGCCTCCATCAGGATATATAGATACTCAAAGAACAAAAGCAGAGGAAAATAACTATATAGAGTCAAAGGAATAACCTTTAACCTTCTGTTTGTATTTTTTTCCCAGGAAAAGCGAATATTCCAGATCCCGTGGATGCATGCAGCTCGACACGGCTGGGACTTGGAGAAAGATGCTCCTCTGTTTATGAGATGGGCCATTCACACAGGTACAGGTCTACACACACATTGCAGACTGATTAACTGCAGGTTCTGGGGTTTAGGGAGTGATCATTCAGATCAGAGAGGCATGTAGAGGCCGATAACCTAATAATGGCCAATAACGTAATAATTTAAAGAATAATAAATAATGTAATGTAATAAAAATGTAATAATAATGTAATAAACCTAATAACCAATAACGTAATAACCTGTAATGTAATGTAATAGTAATGTAATAATTAATAGTAATTCTTAATATCATTTAAAGGAACAGTAATCCAGCCTGAATATTCCCTTTATGTTGCTGTTGTCATTCTGTGTATATTATATGTTTTGGTCTGTTGCACCACCCTCCACCTGCACCTCTGATTTTGGACACCTACCTGGGGACCTCTTGAGTGGAGGAGGGGATACTCTGCTCTGCAGTATTTCATACGTGATTGCAGTACCATTTTTGCCCACAACAGGGATGGGCATTCGATGAAATTTTCTTAATCGATCGTCAGAAGAATTAACGATCGATTATCGATTAATCATTAACGTTTTTATATTAAAATGATCATCATTATTATTACTATCTGCACTACTAATTTGCATAAATAAACTCAACTTTACGACATATAAACCGTAACCACTCTAGAGCCACATCAGCCCGTTTATTAGAATGTGTTTAATTCAGTTTTGCACAAATCTCACAGAAACAAAACTTAAAGCTGCATCGCAAATTTACATAAACTAAGCAAAGATAAAACTACAGCTCTTGTGTCGCTGATGCGGTTTAATTTCTGTTGGATTAAAAGACATGACTCAGGTGAATACAGGTCAGTGTGACCAGATTTGTGTTTGTCAAAACCAGGACACCGTACGGGGGGAGGGAGGTGGGGATTCGTCATCCACATTGAGCGACTCTCACCTGGAAAAACTTTTTCCCACTGGACACAGACACATATGTGCTGCTTTATACACTGTGCACATGGACTCACACTTGTCCCGAACGCAACGGAAAGTGTGGAATTTCTTGTACAAATCATTGTTAAATACACATTTGTGCTTTGGTACGTTGCAGACTGACCCACTGTTTGTGTCTCGCTCCTTCTGATGCAGAGACACATGTACACACCTGTTTGGTCACGATACACACAGCAACCTACATTCGGTTTGTCGATTAAAATGAATGTAATCGATTAAATTCTTAATGATCAATTATCGATTAATCGACTAATCATGCCCATCCCTAGCCCACAAACTGTTCCTTTAATACTTTCAGATTTATTAGTTGAATTTAAAGTGTCACACTGTGAGATAAATTGTTACTTTTGTCTCTTTCAATTAGCTGCTTCAATACCTGGACATGATGGACGTACACTCTCTCTCAGTATTTTTCTCTAGTCGGCCTGTGCCTCTTACAGGGAACACTTATTATTATTAGCGGTTTGATATGTATCTTCCTCCTTAGAAATGAGGACTATTTGTTTGTTTAACTTGATGGTTACAATTATTTCTCTCAGCTCCAGGCCATTCACGTACTCACATATGTTTGCATATTCAGACATTGACTCACATGTAAAGAGTACAATGAAATCTAAATGTGAGTATTCTCAAATCATGAAAACATTCTTTCATTTTATTTCAACCTTTTAATTGAACCACAAACGTTTTTTCCAAAATGTTTAAAATTAGGCTGGTGTAACATCAGCCGCCGTGCACTTTGTAACTTTTTGGTTGGGGTCCGTCACCTACCTGTGGGCCTGGAATGTTCCGCAGTATGACTTTAAACAGCTTTGTCTTACATTTATCCAATTACAGGTGGTTTTAAAGCTCAAAAATACCTAGAAAAACAGGCATTCTGACTGTGAGCGGGGTCGCCTCTCCACAGATCTAAACTGTAACTTGGTCTGTTTGGTCTCCATGAATATAGAAAGGTTTAATGCCATACTGTGACACATTCCAGACAAAACAACAACATCTCCATGGAGTAAAGCAGTTAATAGACCCTCCACCAGAAAAGTTACACAATTTACAATCAACAAATAATGGCTTTGACAGGATTCTCTGATCCCTCTAAAAAACAGCAAGTATCTAAATCT